AAGAGAACACTGTTTTGGTGATCATTATTATAAGTAATAATATAACATTACAATGTAATAAAAATAATTTATGTTATAAGCATGAAATATTATAATTAATTCTTTTAAATTACATAAGTTTGATTATTTAGTCAACCATAATACGAACAAAATCTATGAATTCATAGTTTTTTAAATAATTTAAATACTCGAAGTACAATGGATCATTTTTCATAATTTTACTGGTAAAATAAAAACCTTTAACCGTTCAAACATTATTAATTTTAATATTATTGGACACTCAAAATTAAATTTAGATTAAGATTTATGACAACAATTATAATATTATAGGTCAAGAAATTTTTCTTCTTGCCGCTTCCGACTTTTAGTTTTATTGTAGTCCGAACTAAATTGTTTGAACGACCATAAAACTCTAAGTTTATGCTTAAATATATTTTTAAAATATTCTAAAAATATATTAAACCTTTCGAAATTATCATTCAAGCCTATGTTATCAGAGATATTTTGAAAGTCTTCTATTTTTTCTTTTTTTTCATTGCTTATTTGAACTAATTTCATTAGTGTATTAGTTTTCTCAATTGAATTCATGTTATATATTTCGTTAGTTACTTCTATTTGTAATATTTTAAATGACTCAACAACAAATGATTTTTCTATCATGTATTCAACCTTTCCGATGATATTATTATTTACATNCTTCTATCATATATTCAACCTTTCCGATCATATTATTATTTACATCATCATAGTCTTCAAAGTGTTTTCCTGGTTTATTTAATAACAAATCTGGGAAATATGCAAATTTAGGAAATAACAAATTAAATGTATACATATTACGCCTCAAGAAATTACACATTTGGGAATTATACTGAAATACAATATTTCCATCCTTATTTTTTAAATACATTAAATGCTTTCAATAAAATGTAAAGATACGACTCTAAAGATGTTAAAGATTTTATCATGATAAACTCTAATTTTAGAAATCCATATATCAAACCAATAATAATTCTTTGCAGCTTGACATGCAATATTAATATCTTCGATAATGTCTTCGTAAGTTTTCTCACTTTGTTCACCGAAATCCATTATTATAGTTTTCAACATATCTGTATTTTGAATAATATCGTGAAGATAAATTATCTTAAGAGAAACCCAATCTTCTACTTCTTCACCGTGCAGTAAAATATTATTAATATTATTTCTATTTACCATTACTGTCTTTACTTTTTCTATCATTGAAATCTTCTCTTTTTTTTCTAGTGCATAAAATTTAGCTGTTATATTGTATTTATTATTTTCTCGACAGTTATTAGTTGTATATAACGATAAAGAATCCTTTATATTTTCTAGAATTGCCATAACATGTGATTTCATCGATGAAATATTCCCCATCGATTGGTATTTTATATAAATTGCAAACATGTACATTTTCCAAAAAGGCTGTAAATATTGTGTTAGTACATCTACCTTTAGTTTTACAGCTAGCATTTGTTGAATAATTGATTCATTCAACAATAAATGATTGTATTCATAAGTAGAATCATATTCTATTAAGGATTGAATAGAGTTTATGAATTGCAAAAAATTATATAAATCACCACAATAAAGATCTTTGTAGATAAATTGTGTTTTGGTATACGTTTCAAATCCTGGTTCAGGTTTCTGGATTATAGTATATTTCCAATCATTCAAATTCATTTCAAACATTTCAGTGTTAGTATTATAAGAAAATCCAGTATCAAGATTGAATGCTACTTGAAGTTTTTCTGTTTCTTCAAGTTTATCAATAAATCCTGCCGCCTCTCTAAAATAAGTACAAGTGATAAATTGTATATTACAAAATATCCCAAAGATGATTTTTAACACACAATATTGATAAAAAATCATTATTAGTATCTTGATTAATCAATAATGATAAAATATAACTTCTTTAAAAGAGCACTTTTTTAAAATTACACTATAATAAATTTTAGATATTTTAATGTATGATTTTATTTATATAAACATTTATTATACTGAACACTATTTTTTAAAAATGTGTGTTTAAACAGTTAAAAAGTGATTTAGTGTCACAGTATTAATTTAAACATAATTTTAGACTCAGTATTCAAAAAAACCCAGCACAGTGGGGTCGCGGCATAGTGGGGATGTTGCATAGTTGGGTCCAGTATAGATTTAATNTTAATTGTTTGATATAAAATTGAGTAAATTCGATTTTCATAAGAAAAAACAAAAAAATATTCAGAAAAATATAAATTTAAAAATAATAACTATGTGATAGTATCTAGTTCCGTCTAAATATTAAAATTATAAGCTTCACTGAACCACAATTAAAGAATTTTTAACCATTTTTCAACTATAATTTTACGAGTAAATTGTCTTATAATATGAGGTTCAGAAATAATTTAATTTACGACTTCAATTTTTTATGTATTTTCCTCTAAAATTCCAATTGTTTAACTTCATAATAACAATATTAATTTAAAACTATGGTAAATTTTTCGAAAAATATAAATAATTTTTCAATTATAGTTTTGCTTTGCTATAATTCATTACATTAAGTATCAACATATTAACACTTTTAGAACAAAATTTAAAACATGTAATTAAAATATATGCTATAACACTATAGTCTTATAATTTATAATTATAATTAGGGTTTTAAAACATTTAGAAGATGCAATGTACAGAGTGATTAATTTATGATTATGATCACTATGATCCACTTAAGTGGTCAAAAAATAAAAATAATAATAAGATTTAAAATTTTTTTTTGGTACTTTAGATACATTTTTTTCTCGATTTCTATAATTCAAGTATTTTTTATGTTTTTCACATATACCTTAAAGTAGTGTGACGTTTATTTTGTCAAATGGCAAGATACTTAATTATTTAGTGTATTTTATAGATAACAACCTAATAAGGAAAATGACATGTCAATAACAATTTCTGAATCACTATTTGGGAAATGATTGACATTTGTATAATTGGATGTATGAAAGAAACGGGCGGAAAATTACCAATGTCATTTTATACTAAAGGGGACCTGAAAAATTTTTTACTCATTCATCTAAACAAAAATTGTATCTTCGACTAATTTTTTTTTAAATATGATTATATGTTTATTTACTCTAATACAATGCAAAAAACCTGTTGGAATAAATTTGTATACAATTAATGGTACATTTGTTCAAATAAATTATTCTAAAAGAAAATTATTTAATATTAATATTTCGGTAGAATATTTTTTCGAATACCTTTAGGAATACTTTTTTGAAACTTTACATCAAATCTAAAAATTATTTTATATTTTATTTATTAATTAAAATGCATTAGTCATCCCAAGTTAATCAAAGTTGATGTCAAATATTTTAAATACTCATATTTTGTAATGTAATTTTTTTTTTTTTTTTCAAAGTATTCCATATTATGACATATTCCTTCAAATGCCTCGAGCATTAAAACTATATAAATTTCATGATTTAGATTCATTAATCATTTTTTTAGGTTAAATAAGGATTTAAAATATATTAAAAATCGGTAGCATAGTGTGTAAGTGGCACAAGTAGAACAAGTATAGATTATATCTANTCGGTAGCATAGTGTGTACGTGGCACAAGTAGAACAAGTATAGATTATATCTAACAGTGATTAAAATCACTATCATAAGAAACGCTTCGATACAAATCTGTGGATAGTGTTAAATTTTAAGAAATTGATGGATTATTCTAATAGCAAAATTAAGTACTATTTCCTTTATTATTTCTAATTAGTAGTTCAGTGATTTATAAGTATAATATATGATTAAATATCTATGTGATTCAATTAAATATAGTATGAAATTGATAATTGTTTTTTATGATAATGATTTTAATCACTGTCAAATATCATTATACTTGACTCAACTATGTCACATCACCACTGTGCTGGGTTTTTTTTATGTTTATTCTTAAGAAAAGTAATATTTTATTTTTATTCAAAGATACTTTGACACTATTTGTCTATCTGAATTTCTTACTCATATTTCTTAATTAAAATTATTATTTTTGTACATTCGTAATTTTTTTGTCAGAATCCAAATTTAATAATGATTAATAAACATGTTGTTGATGATAATTCTGCATTTTACACTAATAGAACTGTTTAAATAAATTATGAATAATATTTTTGATATTTAATAATATATTTTTGAAAAGATATTTAATCACTTTTTGCAGTTATTAAAAAGTATGTCTCATTTATTTTCACAAATTATTTATCGTAAGCATTTTATTGATTACCCGAATAATTTTATTTTTAAATAACAAATATCTTTTTCTTCTCTTTTATAATTACAAATATATCTTGATTTATCTGTTATTAATTACTTTTTAGCATCATCCCTTATGACTTTTAGAGGACAAACTATTTTTTTTTATGAAGTAATTTTAATCCCTGTTAGAAGTCATCTATACATATCCCATCTATATCACATCCCCACTGTACCGCTACCATACATTTCTGCCTTATTTAAACTTAACAACAATACCTTTAAGTTAAATACTATGACCTATAAGCTATAACATTTAGTAATAATAATAATGATGACCTATTAATATCATGATCATTGACTTACGAACTATGACCAATGATCTTAGAAATTGTTACAAGCAATGAGAACAATATATACCCGTTTTCTAATTTACTGAACACCTTTGTAATAAAAATAAAGATTATCCAATCTTCCGGAATATTTACTGATGGGCATTTTGTATTAATTTTAGAGTTTGTTGAATTTACTCACTGATCATACTTCTTGAGTGTACATGTTATTGTGTAAACTTTTATGTTACGAGTTGGCTGATATCAAATGCCTAAGATAAAAATTTTGCAACTCCAAAAGTTAATTTGTGATTGCATTATAGCTCTCAATAATGTTTCTCTTATATACATCCTTGTATTTCAAGTTAAAGTTAAAGGTATAAAAACCAGTCAAGTTAAATAAAGAAGAATCCGAATACTTAAAAATGCTTTATTTATTTTTTAACATAATTAATGTTCTGAGTATTTTAATAGTATTTGTACATTAATAAAATTATTATTTTCTAATCTTCTTCTAATAACTTTTTAATCATATAAGGATAAACAACAATGTGAGCTCTTTTACCAACTATGAGACCTTGATGACTGAATGGTTCCATTTGAATAAAATAAGAGTCCTTCATGTTGGGTAAGTTATTAAGCAACCATTTTATATCCTGAAATGTTTTAAAATATCAACTAAGACAATAAATGAATGAATAATGATGATGATTTTGAATAATAGTTATTAATTATTAGATAAGATTAAATTAGGAGGGGGGCTTCAAAGCGCTTGTACAAGGCATCCCACTTTTTTGGGAAACTCACGCAAAGAAAAATGATTAAAAATAGTTATTTGGTACATTTTTTTATCGGTCAGCCAAGCACGTTGCCTGTACAGCAGTCACATGTACGTAAATATCCAAGCAGACACATTATCATCTTTATATACTACACTGACCTTAGTTGGTTTGATTTGTATTGCGACAGATTTTTAAATTACACTTTTTGTGTGCTTTAAGTTATGAGCCTGGATAGTGCATAGAATAACTATTCTATGAAATGACAGCTTGATAACAACTTTTGGACCAGTATTTCAGGAGTTATTGACATGTTTGTACCTCGGTGAGAGGAAGAGTACGGCCGAGAGATGTTTAATGATATAAAAAGCAACACAAATCCTCACCTCCAGTCATTACTTTTAATTGTCAATAATTTCTGAAATACTGGTAAAAATGTTATGGAACAGTTATTTTATTATTTACATCATTAACTTATAAATAAAGTAGATAGTTATAATTAATTAGCTCATTTATTAATCCCATTTTTACTATCATAATAAATTTAAATAACAAAAACCCAGCACAGGGGGGTCGCGGCACAGTTGTGACGTGGTATAGTTGGAATCACTATCAAAAATAAACGCTTCGATGCAAATCTTTAGATAGTGTTTAATTTTAAAAAATTGGTGTTTTATTCCAAAAGCTACTTGATCTGCTGGTTCCTCATTAATATCTCGATTAAGATATAAAGATAAAGTATGTCGAATGAAAAAGGGTTTATTAAAAAATATTATTTCTCATAAAAAAATTGTGTGGATCCATAAACTTTTCAAATAAATAATAAAATCAAGAATTTTCACACGAAAATAGCATTCGGTAGCAATTTTCGCCGTGAAGACAAGTCCAGAGGTCAAATTTTTTTTTTCAAATTAGAGTATATTACATTAGCTTTAATTTAAGCTTTAATATATAAAAGTGTCAGACCTTCCGAAACACTTTCAAAAGTTATGTTGAAAAAGTAAATTTTTTGTGAAAAAGTTGTCATTTTAAATCCCCTTCTGTGGGCAGGTTTAGTGTCAGATTTACAAAAAAAATATACCAAATGATAAGTAAAGACATCAAGCATCTATATAAAAAAATTTATATTGATATGTTCATTTTTGAAAAAGTTAGAGCATTATTAAGTTAAAAATATAAAAAAAAATGATTTTACAAAAATCGTAATTTTTTATTAACTTTGATGTCAACTTTCACCACGAAGACAAGTCCCAGAGGTCAAATTTTTTTTTTCAAATTAAAGTATATTACATAAGCTTCAATTTAAGATATATATTAAAGTGTCAGACCTTCCGGAACACTTTCAAAAGTTAAGTTGAAAAAGTTCTACTTTCTATATGCATTTTTTATATTTGAAGTCCCCTCATATATAGGGAAATAGTCTGATTTAAAAAAAAAGTATGTCGAATGAAAGATCTATATAAATACTACTCCTCATGAAAAAATTGTACTGATCCATACATTTTTTAAAAAGTTATAGCATAATAAATTTAAAAATGTAAAATACAAAATCGAAAATTTTCACACAAAAATAGCATTTGGTAGCCATTTTCACCATGAAAATTTTTTTTTTTCATAATAAAGTATATTACATTAGCTTTAATTTAAAATATATATAAAAGTGTCAGACTTTCCGGAACATTTTCAAAAGTTAAGTTAAAAAAGTTAATTTTTTGTGAAAAAGTTGTCATTTTAAATCCCCCCCTGTTGGTAGAAAAAAGGTCAAATTTACAAAAAAATAAACTAAATAATAGGTAAAGACATCAAGCATCTATAAAAAAAAAATTATATTGATATGTTCATTTTTGAAAAAGTTACGGCAGTTTTTAGTAAAAAAAATTGAAAAAATTTCGAAAATTAGCGATTTTTAAATTTGTAATTTTTTTGGAGGTTTCCTCCATTTACGGGGAACGAGGGAAATTTTTTCGATTTTGAAGGGTAATATCTTCGACTAGATACGATTTGTGATCTTTTGACGTATCGTTGAAAGAAATCCGTTCGGTGAGAGCTGAGAAAAAGTGGTAACAGACACAAAAAAAAAACACATCATAGTAAAACCAATACCTTCTCAGCTTCGCATCGAAGCTAAAATTGTCCATTAAGGAAAATGAATATTGGAGAAATGAATCAGTGAAAAGAATTTAGGGAAAATGGCCAGTCGGGAAATTTGCTTGTAATTTATTTTTATAATGCATACTCCTCCCGTACAACATAACCACTTGACGTATTAAAACGCTGTAGCTCATAAAATAATCGCCCTAAAGCTGTTTATAACCCATTTAATTTTTTTGCAAGGACATTACTAAAAAAGAGCATTTTCAAATTTTGAAAAACTAAAATTATAAAAATTTAAATATTTATTTAAAATTGGTTTATTAGAGACAAATAATAAAATGTGCTTTTAGCGTAGTCATAAACTGTAAAAATTTATATAAAAAAAAGTAATGCAAAATATTTTCTGAGTCATAGTTTATTAAAAATGTCATAACCATGATATACCATGATAAGAAATTTGATAAGGCAATTATTACTTATAACTCTCATTCAAAAGTATAAGTCATTTTCATGGAAAAAGTTACACACCTCCAAATTATAGTAATCACGAAAAGATAGTGTTTTCTTCTGTCCTTTTCTCAATACGTATTTCAATGTTTAATACCGTAAAATGATACATGAAATTCAAATTTTCACAAACTTTAAAATGCTACAGAATATTTACTACTGAATATCAATAAGATATTTTTTTATTAAAATTTTTCTTAAAATGTACTCTACAAAATAGCTATCTTAGATTTTTTTTTACATTTTATTTAAAATTTAAAAATAATTAATATTTTTAATAAAATGTTAAAAAATTAATTATTGAGATATAGCTATAGACCTAACGTATAACTGTTATTTAAAAAAAAAATCAGCTAAAAATATTAACTGGATCAAAAGTTATTTAAGNTTTAAAAAAAAAATCAGCTAAAAATATTAACTGATTCAAAAGTTATTAAAGTTGTCAGTGAGTGGTGGGCCACCCTGTATATGTCTCCTTTTGAAATGTAAAGTTGATATCCTTATATTCAAGTTATATTCATTATTAAATTTTGTTAAATTATCCCTAACTACCATCAGCCAGTAGAAATTTGTATTAATTAACTTCAAAACTTATCTAAATTATTTTTATTTTTCGATTAAATAGATAGTTCATGATAAAATATCACCTTATATATTATTTTTTATTAACATTTTATTTTATTCTATAATATTTTATGATAACTGATGAATATCATAATTCACACAGAAAAATGATAAGGGGAGTGTTACGACTGTGGACTGTATTTTAATTATTACGAGAATAATATTACTTAGGTCGCTTAACTATGAACTAATAAAATGAACTTTTCTATATGTGAATAGTGAGGCATTTATTAGGAGACTGGTTTTTCTCCGCTGAGTAAAACCGATCGTTCGCTTATCACAATGATAATAATAATAAAAAAAATCATAATAATACTCATACAATAGAGCACGCCGCAACATACCGCCGGCCTTGAAGAATTGTCTTCAAAACGATATACAAGTATAAAACATAGGTAGTAGTTAACAGTATTATAAAAAAAAATATAGATAAACATAGATATAGAAAATAAAAAAAAAACAATAAATAACACATTATATCCCATAAACTACAAATATCTAAACCAAATAATTACAAAAAATCAACTAAATATAAATGTATAAAAAAAATTTTTTTTTACAAATGAATATAAATTGCAAATTAATTTTCTTCGATTGGCAAAGGACACAAAAACCTAACTCCTCGGTGAAAAGAGCCATTCATGGTTTTGACGTCGGCAACTCGAATGACACCGTCATTTCCAGTTACTACATTTACGACACGACCAAGTCGCCACTTTAAAGACGGAATATTATCGTCCTTGAGAAGCACAATGGTTTCTACTTTTATCTTAGGTCCTTTCTCACCAACCCATTTCGTTCTCTCCTGCAACTGCGCTAAATACTCCCGACTCCAGCGCTTCCATAAATTTTGAGAATATTGAGAAACACGCCTCCAACGTGTTAACCGGTTACTTGATATGNATGTTAACCAGTTACTTGATATGTTCGTTTGATCCGGTTCAGGTAAAGCAATTAAAGAATTACCAATGAGAAAATGACCAGGAGTGAGAGGAGACAAGTCGCTTGGATCAGAGGATAGAATCGTTAATGGGCGACTATTTAAGCATGCTAATTACAGTAAGTAGCTCCTCATAAAATAAATGGGCATCTCCCAAAACCCTACGTAATAAATATTTCATCGACTTTACTCCAGCTTCCCACAGACCCCCAAAATGCGGTGAGCGCGCAGGAATAAACTTCCACTCCACTTCGTTTTCAGACAACATATTATTAATTTTGCTTTGATGTTCTTTAGTTTGAGATTATTCATACCATTCTTTAAGTTGACGATTTGACCCGATAAAGTTTGAGGCGTTATCAGAGTACAAAGTTTTACTTTTTCCGCGTCTATCAAAAAACCGATTTAAAGCACGTAAGAAAGCATCGGTACTTAAATCACTGACCAACTCAAAATGCACCGCATGTGTCGCAAAAAAAATAAATATACACACATAGGCTTTAGTAACCTGTGAATTTTTCCTTAATCCTGTTTTTAACAAAAATGGACCACAGAAATCTATACCTGTGGCTAAAAAAGCTCGACCCGGAGACAGGCGGTCCCTTGGTAGATCTCCCATGATCGGTTGCACCACTTGAGGGTTGTGACGAAAACAAACAACACATCTATTAACGATAAATCGTGCGAGGTTTCGACCGTTAATAGGCCAATA